ATATATATATATATAATTTTTAATAAAATAAATATCTGGGGGATGTATTTTGGTTTTAGAGCTGAAAGACTCCCAGGTACGGGCTGCATTTTCCCAGTGCAACTGCAAGTTGCCATCGGACAGGAGTCTGGCTCATGCTCCCTCCTTTGCAGCCATGTGCTTCTGCCACTTCGCATTACCTCTGTGGATGGTGTGACTGCAGGATAAGTCAACGCAGCTCTTGGAGCCAGTGGCAAACTAATCCATCTCCCCAGCAGGTTAATTTTCTGTTAAGCCAGTTGAGCTTCCTGATCTACCTCGCATCCATCTGATTGCTAGACCTGATTTGAGAGAGAAACAGCTGCAGGCCTCTTTATTGTTAGGTGCTGAACCCAGGACAGTGCAATATGAAACCTTCCAGCTCGCACTGATCGGTGACTATGGTATATAATGATGCTGCTGCTTTCTTCCCCATTTCATGTTTCAATACCTTCCTTACACAGAACCCTGCACACCTGTAAAACATACATTTGTTAGATTTACCTGTCTTTGTGTGTCACTCCTTGACGGTAATCGGTGGCAATGTTCTAAAATGTATAAATTTCATTAACTGAAAGTAAATTCTTAGTTTATGGTCATGTTCTGTCACTTTGTTCATCTGCAGAAAAACCACCTTTCAGAGGAAATGAAAATTGGAAGGAAGTGAAAGCTTAAAAAAAAAATCCTCAGAGAGATTAATTGTAAAATAAAATCTAACGTGAGTAGTTGGGATAAAAAATTTTCTTCCAAACCCTTGATTGAGGAAGCTATTACCTCAACAGCTGTATCTGCAAATGTGTATGGCGTTATTTACAGCTTTTTGTTCGATGAATAGTTGAGATCCTCCTGTTTTATATCTTTCCATGTGGGAATTAGGCAAGTCCAAGGAGGGAATGCAAGCAGAAAAATACACGTTTCTCGGTAGCGTGCCAACAATGGAAGAAAACAGTAGGAATTTGTTAGAAAGGTTTGAAGTACTGAGCTCTCCTGCTGGAGCCTGTGCATGGTGTGCTGTTTGCCTGTCGTGTTTTTCTCAACCAAATAAATTTAGGAAGAGTTTTATACAAGGTGGAGAAAAGTACATCGTATCAGCGCTAGGTTCAAACACCCCAAACGATTTCTGGGTCCCAGGGGCAGCCATCCAAAGGCAAGGAGGGGCGTGTGTGTGGGTTCATTTGTCTCCCTCCCTCTCCCTCCCCCAAGCAGGCTCATTCCAATCAGCAGTGTAATTGGAATGCAACCACAGTCTGGAGGAGGAAGGGGAATTTTTGGCAAGGAGAGGCAGAGCAGTTGGGAGCTTTATTCAGATTAAAGCATAGACGACCATTCATTATCAGTACAACACACATTAGCAACAGCATAGCATTGTGTTTCTACAGCTGGGACTTATTTTAGTGATTGTATTGCACGGCGTGTTACATGCAAACAACTGGGATCCGATCACAAAAAGCAATGCTAATGGCTTTCATTAAAAGATGGTGTTTCTGTAGGGGGAAGAAAGACTTGTCTTCAAAATGAACTGTTGTGGTAAAAATTGATAGGCAGCCTGTCCTTCTCCTCCATATCCCATGTGCTACATATGTTCTGGAACAAGCACTTTCTGGAGAGAAACCCTTGGGGAAAGAAAAGAACAACAGGAATTACAATGTTAAAACTGTTGGTTGGATGCAGAATGCTGAACTAGTTCTATGGTGATGACACATGAAAAGCTAGAAGATTAGAAAACATAATCTTAGCTTTGGACCCAATCCTCTTTCTGCCCATAAACTCGGGGCTCTGTGACTCGGTAGTGGTTGCTTATGGATGTCTGACATGAAACGGGGAGTGTTTTCTTAAGTCACGTACTGAGTTCTATTGTGTTGGTTATGTGTTTCCTTCTGCGTCTTTAGATGGTATGCTTGCTTCCATGGACATTTGTGACTTACTTTCTTATCTGTCTTCCCAAATCTTTCAGTAATAGTATTGATGTCTCTCAAATATATACATTTAAAAATTCTTTACTTAAGAAGATAGCTTAAGCAGTATTATTTTTTATCATAGGCATTTTAAACCCAATGTATTTCTATTGTGATTGTCTACAACTGTAGCCCTGAGGTACTTGTACCTCATGTTGTTGGGTACAAACACATTTTAACCCTGTAATTTGTCATAAACCAAGAGACACAGATGAGAGTGTGCAAGCATACAGGTAACATAACGCTAAAACCTACCTGTAAAGTAAAGTAGCATTCATAGAATCCCAGAATGGTTTGGGTTGAAGGGACCTTAAAGCTCATCCAGCTCCAACCCCTGCCACGGGCAGGGACACCTTCCACTAGAGCAGGTTGCTCCAAGCCCCTATGTCCAGACTGGCCTTGAACACTGCCAGGGATGGGGCAGTCACAGCTCCTCTGGGCACCCTGTGCCAGCGCCTCAGCACCCTCACAGGGAAGAATTTATTCTTAATATTTAAGCTAAATGTCCTCTTTCAAGTTTAAAGCCATTATGCCTGGTTTTGCAGGTGTGAAGGAACGTGGTGAGCAAATTTGCTATCAACAGTTTGATACAGATTGAATGAACAGTTTGATACAGGTTGGAAATGCAGGATCACTACCTTTAAATGTCCAAGTTCCTTAAATTTAGATAACATTTTCTTTTTTAATGTTGCTTTCCTCAGCACTTACTCTAGGTTTGTTACCCAGCAACTGAAGGTGAATAGCATCATTGAAGTCTCTCAGACATACCTAAGACGTGGTGATTCTGTAAAAGCTCATAGATAGAATGGAATAGAATACAGTGGAATAGAATAGAATGGTTTGGGTTGGAAAAGACCTTAAGATCATCTAGTTCCAACCCCCCTGCCATGAGCAGGAACACCACACACTAAACTATGTTGCCCAAGGCTCTGTCCAGCCTGGCCTTGAACACCTCCAGGGTTGGAGCATTCACAACTTCCTTGGGCAACCTATTCCAGTGCCTCACCACCCTCACTGTGAAGAACTTCTTCCTTAGATCTAACCTAGACTTCCCCTGTTCAAGTTTAAAGCCATTACCCCTTGTCCTACCACTAGAGTCCCTAATGAAGAGTCCCTCCCCAGCATCTTTATCTCTTTTTACTTGTTTTCATTGCAGGCTTCCTACAATTGCGCTTTCCTTTATTTCACGTTCTTCATGTTCTTCTTCCCATTAGAATGCAGACCTTGTGTTACAGATATACTTCTTATTCTGAGCTAAACATACTCTTTAACACTCATATAAAATAGTGGTAATGTGTAACATAGGATACCTTCCTTGACGACAGTCTGATGTCATAAAAAGTTGGATTTTTCTGTTAAAAAAAAAGATTCCAAGGTAAGAAGCTAGTAGGAAAAGTTCAGAAAATGAGAGAAAAATTTATCTTCCTATAAAATACGCATTTTCAATAATCAGCTCCCTTTGCTTTTTTTGTGGGTTCAGCTGATTATTTCTTGCCTCTCTTTAATTGCATGTAAATTTTAATCGCTAACACGTAAATCAGATTCCAGGAGTTGGGGGTATTAAATATTTTGCATTCACTTGCAACAGTTAAATTATTTTTCAGTAAACATTCCTTGTCAGTCACTGGGGTAGTAAATCAGAAAAAGGAACTTGGCAAACTTGATTCACTTAATTCCTATTTTTGAGTAGTTGAGAACTATGTGTAGCAAAGCAGTCAAGGAAGGAGACTAGGAAGCTTTATAATATTATACTCTTTTCATGTTTCTGTGGACTGACTTGAATAGCATATGTTTGAATGAGATCATGAGGCACGGTGAAGAGATTTAATGAACGTATAGTATGTAAAAGTGATGTGCATGTTTGTCTTGGCACGTATATATTGTTCTTTCATATTGGAATATGAATGTTCTCTTTTGTGGAGACTACCCAGGAAGTCTGTAATAAATACAAAACATAGCTATCCACTGACTCAGTGATACTTGGTAAAAAATACTTAATCTACGTATCTGTACTAGAAGCCATTGATGTATTTTGATGATGCACTTACGGTACAATGCTCACCCTCCCCTCCCTTTTTTGTTCCAAACCAATGTTGATACATGGAGGCACTGGTTTGTATTCTTGTTTCTGAAAACCTTTCGTGCAAGTTCAGCTTAACATTTTTTGGTTTAAAATAATTCTGCTTAAAAAAAGTTTTAAAGCAAATAACGAATAACCTTTGTCAGTACCCTTGTGCCTCTAGAGGATCTATTAATGGTGCAACTGCATAGATCTGATAACGATGTGGGTTTGGGTCCAGAACCATTAACATTTTTACTTGGCTTTGTCGAGGGAAATAAATCTTGCTATGGTTCTTTCTGGTTTTTGACTCTCTAGCTTAAATTTGACATAGGATAGAGGTCTCAAAGATAATTAAGTCCCATGAGTTCTCTGAGAATCATTGCCTGGATAAAGAGGAGACCCCTAGCAGTGACCTGAAATGGGAGGAAAAAGCTGCAGTGAGAGATCCCGTGTTGCAAGACCACTGGAGAGTCTGTGTGGGAGAGTGTCTGTCTAAAGGCCCTACCGGTGGGAAAAGCCTCAGCTATAGCTTTCAGTTAACCATAAAACATAAATCCATAGGAAACCAAACTTCCTTAGTTTTTATTCTCAAGGAACTATTAATCAGTTGGTTATCAGAATAGGTTTTAATACAGTGTTGAAACTGTTAGAAAAGTGGAGCATAAACTCTGGTGCTGTTCCCACCAGTGGGAAAAGTTTTGTCCAAAAAAAAGCCCTGAGATGGATTAGAGTTCTGTGCGTGGACAAGATTCTTTCCTTTAGAATGGAGCTGATGCTCCTGGGACTTTTTCACCTAGAAATACCTGGCAGAGAGGGTGTTGTTAGTGGAAGATTTCTCAGCATCTCTCCTGTTTTGTTAACCTGACAAAGCCAGAGTGAACTGACATCTGACTTCCCTTAAATGTAGTTACTAGGGAGGGAAATCTTGAGCCAAAAACATTAGTTTGTTCACTCATGGCTAATTGTTGGGGAAATGGTTGTTAGTCTTTGTTGTATGTGTGCCCAGTCTTATCAAAATGAGACTTTGCTTAAATCCCACTGGCAGGCTTGCTTTCTGTTTTGAAAATAAGTGTTTATAATTAGTTAACCTTGCAATTTGTCTCTCAAAAGATTAGTCAAACCTCTTTATTTTGGACATGATACAGTTTCAAAACATACTGTGTGAATTTTGACTTAACTATTGGATTTAAAGCCTTCAGCTTCCCTTGACACTTCCAGTTTCTTATAATGGGTGAAATTGTGCAAATAATTATGTCTTTGGGGATCTTTAAAACAGAGGCCATCTATGTAAGCATCTATTTTACTTTAAGTTTCTCACCACTAGATGAAAGGTGGCTGATGAGCTGTAACCTGTTTCGGTTCTTGGGCGAGTGGTGTGTGTTGACAGCTCAGGCTAAGCATATTCTTGGTGTAATAAAATCTTAAAGAACTGGAGAAGCATTTTTCAAAGTTTGCCCTATTAGTTGCTCCTGTAAATGTTTTTTAAGCCGTTATCAATTGTATGGACAGAGTAGACTTTCAATTGCTGGGCACATGGAAGCCTTCAGTAGCTGTGGATTTTTATTACACCATCCTAAGGACTTTATTTGAATGTCTTGTGGAGCAGGCAGTGATGTGACAGTGTTTCCTATACATGCTTGAACTCCAGTTATCAGAAATACCTGAGATGATTGGCACTCTATTAGTCATTAATAGGTGTCCCCTTCTGTTTTAGAGAGGACTAAAACTCATGAGTTTTAACTAGATTTTACAGTGCTGCATTCCCGTGGAAAGCAGTTTCACTAAAATCAACATCTTTCTGAACATAAAAATTGGGAAAATGTTAATTCCATTGATTCTAGAATAATATGTAGCTTTGTGCTAGCATGCAGAATGATCCAGGGTGGTGCTTTCTGCCCTGATCCTGGAAATCTCCATTCGAGTGCTCGTGGACAAGCTCTGCTCTGCTTCTTATTTGAGCAGACACTGTAAAAGAAACCGGAGAATGAGCAGCACCACAGGATCAGTTTGAGGATGTTCTGTGGGGAAAGCATGAGCAGTTTTGGTGTCTGTGGGATGCGGTTATTGGATGCACTTTTCTGTCTTTGCATTTCCTGGTAGTAATAAATATTGGCGACCTCATAGGAAAAATATCCACGGGGATCATATACTGAGGAGTCTTCTGGAGCATTGATCCCAACCAGATACGTCTTCCTCCTTCCCCTTTTTTCCTTTTTGAGCTAGCTGTGGGAATTTGTGCTTCACTCAATACGCAAGAATCCTTGTGTGTTATCAGTAAATATTTTAATGTTTCACAGGGGAGTCTGATATTTCCTACTTACTAAACCTGTGATAATAGATAAGCATATGTAGTTGAACAGTGGTGTGTTTTGTGAGGAGAAGTCTAGGATGTGTACATTGGCATCGTTGTAGCAGAGTTGTACTTTTGACCTTTTATTTATTGATTTATTTCTTTATTACTTACTGTATTCTCATATGAGATGGTTTTCCCCTTGGTATTTTTAGTTGACAAATACAAATGTTCTTCCCTTTTTATTTTAAACAAAAAAGACTGAAATAGTTACTAGCTTCTACAAATAAAATGTTATCTTCAGACCCATGAAACCCCTGGCATTGGAAGTTAGTCTACTCCACCCAAATGTTTTTCAGGTAAAAATGTTTATTTAGTTACCACTCAGGGGAACAGAAAAGCCTAAACTGCCTAATGCACTATTTCTTATGGTCAAGTAAGCTTTTGCTGGTCTGCGGAACTGAACATAATATCCTACTTGTGTAATGCCATTAATTTTACTAGCACAATGTTTTGTGTCACTGTATGGTGGGGTAGTTAGACATGGTCCAGTTCCCTTGCTTGGTGAACACGGAGTTGGCAAAAGAATTGGGGGGGGGGGGGGGGGAGAGGGGATG